AAAAAAATCCAAATGTAACTTCTTTTTTTTTTTTTTTTTTTTACTTGTGACCACAGGGACCTGGTCCACCCTCCACCCCTACTATCCCCTCCAACTGCCCCTCATATCGCCTTAGGACCTCACCTGCGGCCACCGTTCCTGGGCATGCCCTCTGCTCTTTGCCAGGCCCCTGGTGAGTCATTTTTATTGCTAAGGCTAAGTAGATATTACCAGTGCACACAAACCAGAGTCATGCACTGTGTCATGTGTCATGGCTCTGTATTAAACTAGAAAGTTGCATTTTATTTTAAAACATTCTTTAACATTTAGGATATTGCAGTCACTTGTGTTTGTAGGTGTGTATGTATTGGTTGATCTTTGTTTCTTTCACAGGTTATGGTTTCCTCCAGCCAGCTCAAGCTGAGATCTTTGCTCGGCAACAGGAGATGTTGAGGAAGCAGAACCTGGCCAGGTGTGTGTGTGTTAACAGTACCCTGAGTAATAAGAGTGACAATAAAAAGCAAAGGCTAATGATAAATATAACAGCTCAAAGTAAGTTTTGTGATGTTTGTCACACAGACATATAAGAGAACATAAACTTGTGATGTTTTTAATATACAGCCATGGAAGCAGTGCTGTGAATGTGAAATACTGCAAAAATGTAAATTGTGTGTAAAGTTCCTGTGCGTTTCACTGCCACAGACTTGAGATGTCAGCAGAGCTACTGAGACAGAAGGAGCTGGAGAGTCTCCACCAGCGACAGCAGCAGCAGCGTCTTGTGGGCTCTGACCCTCTGGGAGCGCTACCTCTGGGCCTGCCCCCTGACCATCCAGCCCTGCGGAGCCTCCAAGACATCCCAGAGGGCCATCCACTCCGTGAGGAACTGGTTCGGCGCTCAAACACAATGCTGGTGCTTCGCCACGGGGCTGCCACGCCTCTTCTAACCCTCAACCACCAGCAGCAACAACCAGGGGTGTCCTCCACATCCAAAGGCACCCAGGCACAGAGCTCCACCACTGGGCCAGATGCTGAGTCCAGGAAGGCCCCTCACAGGGGTCCAAAGACACAGCTCCGTGCTGAGGATCACACAAGAGGAAGAGTGGACAGAGGAAGGGAGGGAGACAGAGAGGTGCAGGACGAGGACATGAAGGACTCTGACAGTGAGACAGAGATGTGTGAAGAGAGGCAGGAGGGCGTCGGTGCCAAATCCAACAGTAAACCCAGGGACAAGGACAGAGACAGGAGTAAAGACACTGGCAGCAAGGGAGTGTATCACAGTGCCAAGGAAGCTGGAGAGAACTCAGGCAGGCTGAGTGCCCCATGTAGCTCAGTAGGTACAGAGTCGCCCAGTCGCCTCCTCTTCACCCCTGGACTGGGCAAGGCTGATGCCAAGTACCACCTGCCACCTGGGTTCATGCCACCGCTGCCTGCTCTTCACGCCCAGATGTTGCCGTTTGGATTCCCCTATGCTAACCCTTACTTTCATGCAGGTGAGAGACTCAAACACACACACACACACACACACACAAGTAGAACTGTGAAGCCCATTTGTGTGTGTGTGTGACTCCAGTGTGGAGACCCCTCACTGTTATGGGCCCTGCCTCTGACCCGTGTGACCTTTATGTGCGCTGCCAGCAGCACAGCCATGTGGGCAGAGATGAGGCAGGAGGGGGTTGTTTATTCACATACACACACACACACACACACACACACACACACACACACACCAAACTTGTCTATGTGTAATAACACAGCTGCACTCTCAACACTGATTATACTCTGCAAACGGAGAAAACTACCACACAGTAACTAACCACTATTTAAATTCCCCCCATGAGCAGGTAAATGACGTCAGAGCTGAAAGTACTGAAACTGTTTATCTACATCATAGCTTATTCCACAGTTTTACCAGTTGGTAACGTGATTCATGAAGCAAAACTACCAAATATTCACACTGGCCCACCTGAACTTACCATCAGGACTAACATAACCTTAACAACAGTCCAAACTAAAGATTTGTTTTTCTAAAATGCAGCTCAGAATATTCTAAGGCCTGAGTTCGATGTGCGTCTGAGCTTTGAGTTCTGCATCACTAAAAACGTGCAACAGAAACGAGATCATCCGTCTTAATAGCAACTCTGTACCCGCTGTTTATATTGACACATCATTCTCACCCACTGCTGCGTTTTTAGGCTCTATGGGAGGTCTTTTCATGGATGGGGAGGACTCAGCCACAGCAAACCCAGTGGAGGACGTCAGCAAGTGGAGTGTGGAAGACGTGTGTGGTTTCATAAGCAGTCTGGCTGGATGTGCCGAATACACACAGGTGAGGACACGGGGAGAGGGCGGAGAGAGAGAGAGAGGAGGGGATGCAGGTCAGGGGCAGGCTGACTACTAACCACAGAACAGTGACAAAGATGGAATCCATATTGCAACACTAGTGTGGTGTCTTCAGGGGCATTTTACTGTGAATAAGTGTGGACGTCGTCATGTTCATGTTGGCTGCTATATTTGTGAGCTTTGCGTGAGGAGGGTAGGTTAAAGTGCATGTGTACACCTGCAGCCTGTGTGAATGAAATGTATATTTGTGCGTACAACCATATTCACGTTCCAAAATGTAACAGCCAGCATTGGAGACGAGTGAGCCAGTCGTAGCTTTATTACCGGTTCACAAGATAGAATGTGGCAAAATATTTGTACTTTTTTTTTTTTAGAGTTAAAAGCGAAGCAATTTTTATCCAAATGTGTTTAAACAACACTCGTATAACGACATGTTTAGTGTGTTATTGATCAGTGTAATCGCTCTGGCTGTGGCATGAAGAGGCTTCTAGTCTGTGCTCCATGCAGAAATCATTTTAACTTCTAAAGCTAATGAGGCTTCAGCAGTTTAAAAATGGTTGTAGGATCAAATTATTTGCTTTAGATGGATGGCAGAAATCACTCCCCCTCGTCTCTTATATATGCACTAGGAGCAATGATTGGTGATCAGCAACTCTTCCATGCACACATGCCACATGAGTTCTGAATGAAGATGCTCTAAAAGTCTTAATCTGGCCTTTAAGAAATAACATCCTTTGTTCAGTTCTAAAAACTTCACACAATGGGTATGTAACATTTTGGAACAGAGCCCGTTGTACTGTAGGTTGTTACAATCCCGGTGTTGCCACGTGTTAGGGATGAAACAAAGGCCGATGTGAGTGAATGTGTAGGTTTGTGTGCTGTGTGTGTTTCTGTGTGTATGTCGGGTCTGTGGCTGAAGCGGCTGTGTCTCCGCCAGGTGTTTCGGGAGCAGGCCATCGATGGAGAGACACTGCCGCTGCTCACTGAGGAGCATCTGCTCAACACCATGGGACTAAAGCTGGGGCCTGCGCTCAAGATCCGCTCACAGGTACACACACCCCAGACCTGCGCGTGTCTGTGTGCGATGGAGTGAACCTGTGTGTTTGAATGTGCGTTTTTGTCTGTAGGCCCGAGACAAGCTGCTAGTGTAGCATAGTCAATGTCCTTAACCTAGCCTGCCCCACAGAGCACAGCCTCTCTTCTTCTCTCTCTATTCAAAACAGCAGCAGCCGCTTACACAGTACTCAACAGGCTGCAATGACATTCACATGGTCTCCTCCCGTCTCCTCAGGTGGCACGCCGTGTTGGCAGACTTTTCTACATGACTGGATTCCCACTAGCACTCCCGTTTCCACCTTCTGCTGCTCTGCGCCCCCCAGAACGGGACCGGGACCCTCTGAGCACACAATCTGACACCCCCCTGCCCCTCTCACTGTCCCTGCCCCACAGACCCACTTCTACCAGCAGCAGCTCCTCTCCCTACAGTGGTCCTACCCCAGGGTGCTCCTCCCCCAAGCAGGAAAGCAGCAACAGCTCCACGGTGGCGGGAAGGTACGAGGCCAAATCTCCTTCGTAGGAGCGGACAGAGCAAACTAACCAGACAGCCTCAGAGATTTACTCACAGGCTCTATTTACTAGACAGCCCCCACTACCCCCACCACCATGGGACCTTTACGCTGAAATCTATAAGAACATATTGGACTGGAATAAACAAACAACTGGATGATATAGACTGAATCTGGCAAACCAATCAGCTTCTGAGTTCGTCTGCAGTGGCTGTAGCTGTGCAGAATCCAAAGAAAAGGGTTGGAAGGGAAACACAAAGTGACAGAGGAACAGAGAAAGAGGAGGAAAAGGAGACAGCTGGTCACAGACAGCCTGCCAAAAAAAGGAGTGAAGCCCTGCCACAAATGTGACATTCTTGCAAGTCAGACGCTAGCGGAAACTCTTCCTTCCTTCCTGGGCTGCAGGAAGCTGTGCTCGCTCACTCGCTCTGTCTGTATCTCCCTGCCTGCTCTCACCACAAGCCCTGCAGAACCCAGGAATTAAAAGAGATGCTTCTCCTCTCTTCTCCCTCCCTCCCATTTCCCAGGCCAAACAGCAGCATGGAGCTGTCTTTTTTTGGAGGCTGCACTAGAAACGTATGCTGAGCAGCACAAGATCTGACCAGCTCCTTCTTATCACTGCAACTATGCATTCCACTGTCCCAATACCAAAGATGACCGGATGTGTGGAATTGGAATCATGTTTCACAATGTCTCAGCTTCTTTTTTGCATTAACACTCTCAGTGAACAACTGGTCCAGCAGGGGAATGCAAGACTAGTTTCTCACATGAGGGACTTTTGGAGGTGACACAGGTAGAACTTTTATACAAAGGCTTAAAAATGTTGGTGAAATGGAGAAGCCTCTGGTGTGTACAGCTTGTGCTGACTACCATGGGAGGTAAGCAAAACATGCAAAATTGTACAGAACCATGCTTAAGATGAAAATATCCTGAAGGTTATATACGTGGTACTTTTTGTTAAATGTAGTTGCACGAATAAGGTTTTCTTTACTGACAAATGTGACTTACTGAACTTTGGTGGTACTTTGGTTCACTTTTTGTTCCGCCTTTTTTTTTTTTTTTTTTTAAGTATAATAATAAACGCTCCAATCTTGAATGCTATTTCGGCATATAAATGAGGAAAAAATATTTATAGGACTTTAGATGTAGTAGATACAGCAGATGGAGAGGTATTGTAACTAGCTCTTATGATGGATTCCAAAGATACTTTTACTTGGTTTTCTCTTGGTTGCAGGGAAAAGAAAGGCACAAAGCTCTTAATGCAAATGTTTTGATTTTGTTATGGAATTTTTTTTAAAACTACACAAGCAATGAATTAAATGGTCTCTAGTTTCCCTTCAAATGTTTTGTCTTCATCCTATTTTTCTATTCACCACACAGGTGAAATAAATCCTAAAGAAACCCCTCCGCCTTCTATTTCTCTCGTATGTGTGCCTGTGTCAGACGACGTATACACTGATCAAGCATAACATTATGACTGCCTGTACATCTGTAATCACTTCAGTGCAACACTTCTGCCTTAACATGTGTTTATGAAGCTCAAAATGTTTGTTTTTGGTGAGATTGTCAAATGTATAAATTCAATTATGAGGTCATAGTTAAAAGAGTCATGTTGTACTGGACTACATTATATTCAGAGGTGTGCCTAATATTCTGACCCTCTCATGTATATCAATGGGAAGGACAAAAATAGACACCTCTGAATATAATGTATAGTCCAGTACAACATGACTCTTTAACTATGACCTCATAATTGAATTTATACATTTGACAATCTCACCAAAAACAAACATTTTGAGCTTCATAAAAGTGTTGCATTGAAGTGCATACAGACGTACAAGTGGTCATAATGTTATGAGCGGTGTATATGTACCTCATTCTCCTCAGGTGTCTGGTTCTTCTGTAAAGACATGCAGGAGGGGGTGTGTGAGAATGAGTGAAGGGGAGGTGACCTATGGGGGCACAGTTCAGGTCAACACCAGCTGTCAGAGCGCGAGGTTCAGCTGCGGGCCAAAGCCTCCCTGCCTGTGGGGGTAAACCTGATCCTCCTCATACACCCACACACACAGAACGGGAAGCAAGAACAGCCCCCACTCATAATCCTTCAAAGAGTTCAGAGTGAAGCTGTCCACCATACACACTACTGGGACTTCCCCTCACTCTACACCAGAAGGTTCTGCATTCACCAAAATGTGACTGTTTCTCTCAAATCAAATCTCCATTTGTGGTGCTTAGAAATCCTCCTTTCCCTTGTGTTGTACACCAGTGAATGCATGCAATACCCGTCCACCGACCAAAGGCCAGTGTTACCTTTAGTGTAGTGGTAAAGTCGAGAGAGAAAAGGGGATACGTTGAGTAGGAACACCGTGTCTGAGCATGCTCTCACACAAGCAGAGAAGACAGTGGTCTGGACCGGGGGGATGGGGTGTCTTGGCACAGAAACAGACCAGCCTGTGTTGCTGCTCTACCACCTGGGTAGAGTGTTGGCAGAGCATCAGACGCCAGCCTGGCACAGCACTGCCGCCTCGGGCCTCAACACCCACCTCTCTGTACCCCTCCTCTTGGCCTGCCCAGCCTGGCTCGGCCCGGCTCTGCAAGGCTCACAGCCATCTCCAAATAGCCCGTCCTCACAGAGCCTGCAGGTGCCTACAGGTGTGCGCATGTACAGAGCACACAAACAACTTATTCCAGGTTCACTTGTGCATCAACATGCACATACACGCTTCAACTATTTTTAAAAAAAAATAAAAAAAGGATTTTAACCTTTTATTTTTTTCCAATTTCAATGCTTAAAATTATCAACATGTTCTATACAGGTGAATTATATGATGTACGCCATTAAAAAGCAAAGAAAATACAAACAAGTCTGACATTATTTTAAGGCTAGGAGGCTGTAATGTAGAGAGCACACAAGTCACTCAGGTGAGCTCGAGTGGGTGTGTGTTCATGAGCCTCAGTCATCATCAGACAGCTCCAGGTCCTCCAACACATCCTCGTCTCCCTCTGCTAGTTTGATCAGAGCAGAGGACGACAGCGGCTGAGGAGCCTTGGAGGCCTTTTCGCCTGCTTCTTCATCGTCATCTGAAACACAGACAGGAGGAACAGAGGAACAGTTTGAGCTCAAGTCATCACATTTATTCCATTTGACCATCTACAGTGTTGCTGCTTGGGTTTAATACAGTTTTATCCAGATATATGGACTAACCTCTGTGGATGCATTTCATGTTTTGGGCAGTAAAAACAACTTTGTTATATGTGACATTCCTTAAATACATTGTACAGAGTAACAGATGGTTGCTGTTCTGTTAATTTGTGCATAAATTATTAATTAGTGGAATTTAATTAGGTAATTAGAGGGCAGGAATTTCTGTGCAAAGTTATTAATTTGAGGGTATGATTTTCACCATCAATCTGTTAATTTTCCAGACTGATTAGTCCACAGAATATCAGAAAATAGTTTCCCAGAATCCAAAATGGCATATTCAAATTGCTTCAACCAAACAGTTCAGAAACCAAAGATATTGACTTGACACCAATATAAAACTAAGGAAGCAGCAAGTCCTCACATTGAACTGAAATCACAGAATATTTTTTGTTCAGTCTCTCAACTATACCAATGCTAGCTAATGTTTGTTTTGCTAACAAGTGACCTAGCACGGTCATGACTGTACCTTTGTTTTTAATCTAGGAGTAATTCAAACTTTGGTTACAGCTAATGTGACACACAGTGCTAACGTTCCATGGACATTCTGCTGGATTGCCAGATTCACTCGTTAGTCAGCTGACACTAGCTTCAGAGTGAAGGTTGCCTTTTGAACAGTTTGTCGCAACCAGGCATCTGAAGTTTACGTCGTTGCAAAATGATGTGGAGGAGAGACGAGCAGTTTCTAGTGCGTGTTTGCTCTGAGTCTTGCTAGACCCTCTAGCAGCTAAAAACAAATTCAGTAGAGTACCTTTGCATTTTACCTTGAATACCTGGCAGGCTCTTCATTAATCAGTATAGACATGCACTGTTAATATAGTTTGTTTACTAAATGAATAAACGCGTACACAGCAAACAGCACCTTCAAAATGTTTGAAAATGACTCATCAGTCAGTGCCAGCAGCTTTCTGGACGCATTTCACCAACCTGAGTCTCCTTCCTCCATGTCTTCGTTGTCGCTCATGTCAGACAGATCTTCAAGATCATCATCGTCATCATCAGACCCACTGCTGACATTTTTACCTGGGGGGAGAGAGTGACAAACATTACACTGCGCTAAATTGTGTCTATTGTTACTTTCTTCAGACATCTTCAAGTTTGTGTTGGTGCATCGCTGACGCTGCCTCTATGTGGGCCAGGTATCAGAGGCAGCTCATAGTGGGCATTGCCTCCTGAGATGGAACTGAGAGTTGATTACAGATGCCTGCTGCATAAACACCCATGACAGTTTACTACCAGCAATTTCAGACATCTTATGCTCACGGCCTAAATATAGCAAATGGAGATAGTAGGCAGGTTCCACAGCAACAATAATGATGGGAGAGTTGGTGTGTGTGTGTTTGTGCTATGGAGGGAAGTTGGGAGTTTGTCTTAAACTGTGCTCAGCTATCCTCAGAGCATTGTGTGTGTGTGTGCGCCGTCTAGCCAAAGGGACAACTGGGGTGCACACGCTTTGAAGTTGAGGTGTGATGAGAAGCTGGAGGTGTGGAGGAGAGAGAGGCAAAACAGAGCTACTTCCTCTGTTGGCTGCATTGTGAACTGACGCACACACAGGAACAATGCCTATTAAAACATCAGGTACGTGCCTCCGCATCAGAATTTAACATGACAAACATTCTTTCACTTGCTCAAATTTTGGTGCTCACATGGAGCTACACAGACTTGAGCGGTACTTTACAGGTTGCACTCAAACGACCTGGAGGACTTATTACCCACGCACACTGAAACCACATACATGAATCTAAATCAAATGCCCCCTCCTCTCACACTCCCCCGTCTTTCCGGGAGTGCGAGAGACCACAAAGAGCTTTGGTGAGCTGCCCGAAAGCTTCTGGCTCTTCAAGACTGGACGACAAAGTGGTGGGTGTGCATTTGTGTGCTATCATCAAGATGTGTATGTGTGTGTGTGTGTGTCCACGCACGTGTTGTCAGAACATGCAGGGGCAGCTGGTTAAAGCCCACACAGCCAGAAAGAGAGCGAGAGGACTAGAATGAAAGAGGTAGAGCAGAGGAAAGAGAGAGGAGCGGCCACCTCTGGCTGTTCCACTGGGCTGGTTTGAATTAGGAACCCCTGCTGGGATCCAAGTCTGTACTTCCTGTCAGGGGGTTTCAGTTTGTGCATGTGCACAAGTGGTGGGAGGGGTGGAGGAAAGACAAGTGAAAAGGGAGGGTGGAAGGCCAGAGAGTGAGAGGCGGAGGCCCACCGCTTGCCAGAAGCTACCCATCCGTTTGTAGGGACTCTCCCTACAATGAAGTCCAGATGCATAAAAAAAAAAAAATCCCCCTACAGCAGAGGGCTATTTTCTGCTTTTGCGTGTTTGAGTGTAAAGCTGTAAAAGCGAGGATGTGGCTGCCCGTGACCAGCGGACAACCCCAAGAGGACGAGACATGTTGCTCCCTGGCTCCTCTAAGCGGAGAGAGAACCGAAATATCTGATAAGCCAAGAGATTGAAGTTCGGTTCCTGAGAAAACGCTGAGATCCCTGTGATAACCGCTTCCCAGGTCATCTGCTTGATGCAGCCAATTGTTTAAGGTGGAGGCTGTCCCAGAATCCCTTTACTGTCATCACCTCTTAACTTTGGTTTTGTAGAGTAAAGATCAGGCTGCAACAAAACACAGCCCCCTAGAGGCCAAGGTGGGCAACACACTAGTTGCAAAGTACAAGTGAAAAAAGGAGCCGGTAGTTACCTCTGGGTTTGAGGCCTGTATCTTCTTCGCCTGATTCACTGTCAGACTCGAACAGATCCTTGAACTCCTTCTTATCTTCAGCCTTCTTCTCTTGAATCTTCTTCCGTTTGATCTCAGGAAGGTCCAGATCCTCCATCTATACACAACACAAAAACAACAAGGTCACACAAGCCTGCTCTGATGGTAATTTATGTAAAAAGGCGATTCTTGTGTTATTCTGACATATATTTAAAAAAACACTAGAAGTGATTCCTGACAACTTCGGCGAAATGGTTGGACAGTTACCCTCTCTTTGCCTGAGATCTCCAGCTGGATCTCCTTCTCCCTCAGCTTCTTCCACTGGCTGTAGTACCGGCTGAGAGGAGTTCCCTCCTCCTGGACCTGCTTCTCCCAGGCCACCTGACAGAGGACAGTGTGATTAACATCTGTGTTGAAGAATGCATATGCAGGTGTGGGTGTTTGCATTTAAGGCAGCTGTGATAAATAAGAAGCAGATTTGTGCCTAGGCTTACTGGTAAAAATGAACATCCAGGGTGGTCGTTAATATTTGATAAGAGAGACTTGCAGGGTCACTCGGGCTCTAAAATGCTCTCATTACAAGCGGCTTTGCATCACAACTTCACACCACTCGATCAGGTGAAAGAGATGGACAGATGAGACAGTGCTGATAGTCACAACATGTGGAACAGAGACAAAGTGGAGATGGCTGGAAACACAGACCAGTGGATCTTCTCCAGCCTTCCCATAAAGGTCCTTGTGGATGATATTGATCAGGCCCAATCACATTATCTGACCAACAAATCCAATAGAGCGAACAGACTGCGGCCTCCTGTGCCTGTTAACTTAGCGCATTTACAACAATTTGCTGTGTGGATATAAGGATGGGTGACATGTACCCCCTCCCAAAACAACAAGACAGTAAAAATTTTACTTCTAAATTCAGCCTACACTAAAAACAAAACAAAAACCTCCACAGGGGAGAGAAAGATGAGAGAGACCAGAATGTGACCTGGATGGAGGCAGGGCATCATTAATTAGACTAGCTCTCAGTTCAGGTGACATGTCAGCGGGGGGCCAGTGGCCGGAGGAGGGGGCTGTGCCCTTTTCCATAGCAGCAGCAGCAGTAGAGCTGTCCCCGCTCCTTCGCCTGCAGTGACACCTCTCCTACTGCCAGAGGATGGCATGGAGACAGCCGCCGCTGAGCAGCGCGC